GGGACTGAACACCCAAAGATTTGTAATTTGAGTCTGAGTGTGCTCTGTCCCCATGCAGGGACAGAAAATCTGTAGTTCTATTACTCTAAATACATGGATATCAGGGCCTGTGTAGAGGAAAAAATAAAAGAAGTAGGGAGTCACCCTGGAATCCACTGATTTGTCATAGTACCTGGCCCCTTGGCCAGAGCTAGTCATACCATCAGTTTTAAGAAAAAGTAGGAAAAAAGCACCTATGAAGTATGATGAGCCCAGTGTCTCTGCCACAGATAGGAAATATTAGTATCGTTTTTAACAAGAAAAGGGCCCAGAAAGTTTAGGAAACTGGTTCAAGATCACACAGCTGGCCCTGAAGTCCATACTGTTAGCCCTGTGACAGGCTGTCCCTTTCCTCTCCCCACCCCCAGCATTTCCTATTCACTCTCTGCTCCTCACTATTCCCCCAACACATGTGCTTTTAGCATGACTTTCCTTCTTTTTCTGGAATATTCTTCCCAACCACATCTGCTTAATTAAATCCTTTTTATCCTCATGGTGCAACTGTGGTGGCCTGGGAAGATGTCTTCACATCTGATGGGGAAAGAGACACTTTGAGATCTGAATTCTCCAAATATTTACACTTCAGATACAGCACTTAACACACCTGACCTTTACATATTTTTACCCTTGTGATCCTCCTAGATACTGAAATCTTCTAGGTCAGAGACTGTGATCTGTCTCCCCAGCACTTAGAGGGGACAGAAGATGAGGTGCATACAATTAAATGACTGCTGAATAAATTAGTAAATGTGTGGATTAATCTTTGCCTTCTAAACATAATGCATGAGGTTGTTATAAGGACCAAAGGGGATAATATATGTGAAAATGTTAATAACAGAAGGGGCTCATAAACAGTCAAGAATGGGACAAGGATCTTTTATTGATTGACTCAATTCTAGGTTAATCATTACTGCTGAACATTTTGTGCAAAGAGAGGTTTTGTTCAGATGTATGTCAATGTAGTTTAATACTGGAAGTGGGGCCAACAGTGGAAAAACTACAAGGAATTTGCTTCTTTTGGTTTTATGAGACGAGACTAATTCATGTTTCTGGCTGACCCTCTTCATTTTGGGTGGCATGACTTTGATGTACCCTCTTGGTCATACAGGTATGCATGTGAGTAGCTCAGATGTAGGTGAAGTCACCCAAATGATAGCTCAGACTAAAATAACTTTGCCTCCTGTTTCTGGGAGAAAATATGTTCTTCGAGCAAGCATACTCTTATCTTCCCATCACCAGGCTATTACCTCAAACAGAATGACACAAATGTCTCCCCACTTTTGTCCAAAGGCCCCTCCTTCCTCACAGGTACTCCCAACCTCACTGAAGCTCCCACAGATATACCCAAGATCCTCTTCTGAAAATGCCCCCAATCTCATTTCAGTTATCCCTCTGCATGTTTCTCTCATCAAAACCTCTTAAAGTTTATCCACACTTATTATTTATTTCCACATCTTTACTTTCCATTCCCTCCTCAAGCAACTGTACAAACCTCCCCACTACAGTTGCTCTCCCACCCCCTTCTTGCCCTACAATCCATTCTCCATAGAGCAGCTAGTGGGATCTTTTTAAAACCTAGACCATTTCATTCTCAGAATAAAACTGAATCATGCATCATGCCTCTCCATTATGACTGCTCCTAGTTAAACCTCATCTATAAATAGGGTCAATAAGACCACCTTCCACATTTGATGTGAAGAGCAAATATCATCATATGTAAGACACTTAGAACAATGAGAGAAGCTGGTACCTAAGAAATACTATGTCATTGTTACAATGGCATATTTTGGCAAGATGTTTTGTGAGTTTGTGAAACAATGGAAAATAAATATACTGGTCTCTGTCCCCAGTTCCTGGCACAGAGCTCCTAAAATTCTCCTAAGTTCCATCTCTTCTTGTAATGAGGCAACTCTGACTGGCCTGGAGGGGAGCTGGTCACCAGAAACAACAGGCCACGATTTAAAAGCTTGAAACCTTAAATCCCAAGCCCCCTTCAGGAAGGCAAAAGGAGCTGGAGATTGAGTTAATGGTCCATCATGCCTAAATGAGGAAGCCACCATAAAATGTTAAAGGTTCAGAAAGTTTTCTAGTGGGTGAAAACAGCAACTTGCTGGAAGGATGACACACCCCATCTCCCTGCTGGAGACCTTTCTGGACCTCGTTCTATGTACCTCCTCATCTCGCCCTCCATCTGTATACTTCTTTTTTTGTTTAAATATTTTATTTTATATAATTCTGACATCTTTTTTCATCTTTGCACAATGTATGCATTTTCATTTTGGTTATATTCCCCATACAATTGCACCTCGCCCCTTATTTTGACTCTAGTCCTTCCTTTCCCTGCCCCTCCTTCCCCCCCAGCCCCTCCCCCATAGTGTGTCTCTGGTTTATAGTTGCTTGTTGATTTTGATTTTTACTTTGTATTGATTAGTCTTTTTCCTGGTCTCTTATTTAGGTTTTCTAAATTCCTGCTATGATTGAGACCAACCGGTATTTTTCTTTTTCTTTCTGGCTTATTTCGCTGAGCATGATCCCTTCTAGCTCCATCCATGTTGCTGCAAACTGCATGTGTTTATCTTTTTTGATTGTTGAGTAATATTCCATTGTGTATATGTACCACATCTTCTTGATCCAGTCATCTATTTTTGGGCATTTGGGTTGTTTCGATAGCTTAGCTATTGTAAATAGTGCTGCTATAAACATAGGGGTACAGGTGCTCTTTGGAATTGATGTTTCTGTGTCCTTTGGGTAAATACTAGGAGTGGAATTGCTGGATAATATGGAAGCTCTATCTTTAGTGGTTCAAGAAATCTCCACACAGCTCTCTATAGTGGTTGGACCAGTTTGCACTCCCACCAGCAGTGCAGGAGAGTTCCTTTTTCTCCACAACCTTGCCAACATTTGTTGTTGCTAGTTTTTTTAATATGTGCCATTCTCACTGGTGTGAGATGGTATCTCATTGTAGTTTTGGTTTGCATTTCCCTGATTACAAGTGATGTTGAACATTTTTTCATATGGATGTTGGCCATTTGCAAAGCAGTGATAGTGAAGGCAAAGATAAACAGCTGGGACTACATCAAATTAAAGAGCTTCTGCACAGCAAAAGAGACAATAACCAAAACAAAGAGAAACCCCACCGACTGGGAAAATATTTTTGCACATAACACTAACGATAAAGGACTGATCACAAAAATCTACAAAGAGCTGATGAGACTCAACAAAAACAAAGAAAATAATCCAGTCAAAAAATCCATCTGTATATTTAATGGTAAACTAGTAAACATCAATGTTTCTCTGATTTTTGTGAGCCATTAAAGCAAATTACATGAGCCAAGGGAGAATCACAGAAAGCTAGATTTATAGCAAGTCGGTCAGAGGCACAAGAGACAACCTGGTACTTGTAATTGGCATTTAAAAGAAATTATTACACTTAGTTTATTACATACAACATGAGCTTAATAAAGAATGGATGGTTATATCAATTAACAAATTAATTTCAAACAGCAATTCTAATATTATTTTACATAAAACCATATTAGCTTACCTCTTAACTTGGTTGTATTTAATTTTTAAATAATTTTGTCTTATTACGTTTACTCATATTCTAAAAAATATTATTCAATCCATATGGAATTGAAAAAATAAAATAGGGTGGGAGGAGGCAGTCCAGGGATAGTAAAATCATAACAAGTATAATCTGACACACTTCTGAAGACAATGTCAAAACTGAACCGACTTGTAGGATACTCCCCTGGGTCAGGCGTGTGAGACATCACTAACACATATGGTGTCAAAATGCTGTGTGAGTGAAGGAGAAACACAAGAGGACTGTGTCTTTCTCTGTTACTTCTAATCCCCCAAATGTTAAGTGTGGGCCAAAAGCCAGATCCCTGCCCATCTCTCCTTGTTCCCCTATTTGACCTACCTCACCTGCTCTGTGACTCTGGTGAAGAAGACGCTTTGAATATCCATGTATGAGCCCCAGGCTGGTTGTTGGGGCTCACAACCACTCACAAATCAGCCTAAAGCTGGAATGACCAGGTCTGGCCATGGGCAGGAGGAGCTTTGTCTCATGGACAGGTCAGAAGAAAGGCACTTTATAAAAGTGCTTCCCTTCCCGGGAAGCCAAGTTCAGAACTCTGTCCTCGGCCCCTTCCAGACCACCCACCTGGAAACATCTTTCACTTTGAGTCTGGTGCTAGTATTTTCAGAAATATTCACTGGTTTGGACTCAAAACTCTATGTCCATCCCAAAACTTGGCCCCAAGCCACATTTTAAACATTCAGATTGACATGCCCAATACCAACAGTGGCCTTTTCCTGCAGGAGTTGGCAGATAGGAAACCAACAATATTGTGCCCTAAAATCAAATAATTTTTCTTTGAAAAATAGCTTCAGTGATAGTTACTGTAAAGCTTCATGACAGAGTAGAACTGGCAGAGAATTTCTTCTTGAATTGGCCTATGCTCCATTTAGGTGCCCTTGAGTTCACAGTTCTCTCTGTTTTATTGTTCAGTCTTATGAAATATGGAAAAAGGGATTATTCCCTTATTCTTAATGAGGTTAATGAGCTAAATGCTTGTAAGATGTCTTAGAAATTTTAAAATATATTCTTCCAAAAATCATTTCCTCAAAAACTTTGGTGTATCTAATTTTTCAATTCTAAAATTAAATCTAATTCTAAAAGAGTGTTAAAAAGAAAAAGGTCACAACTCTGTAATTTGCTGTAAACTGTCATAAACATTAGAAACAACCTTGTCTAGCTAAGCCCATGGAAGTTATGTCTTAATCTAACTATTTCTTTCCATTTCTCTGACTTCACATTACCAGAAATATGCAGTTCATTTCACATGACATTTATTCAGGGTCATGACAACAAGCTAAATGTCTCCGGGTGATGCATGTGTTCCGGTTCTCCCCAGCTCAAGGTTCATTCACTTGCTTTTTCTTCAATGCTCATTTCTTCTCAGCCATCTTAGTCAGAAATTCCTGCTTCAGAGGCAAAGGTAAGCACATTTCCTATTAATTTCACAGTGTCTTAACTGTTTTTGAATCATAGTTAGAAACAAATCTGTAAAAAAAAAGGTTATATTCAGAATTCCTCCTAATAATTTATTTTTTAATTATGGTCTTTTATCCTCTGGAGCGAATGATTTCTTTTTCTGACTATAACAATAAACTATTACTTGTTTATCTAATTCAACCAACTTCCCCTACTAGTGAACTTATTAACTTCTCTATTTTCTTAGACTTTATCAAGTTCTATTCAAAGACGATAGCCATGACTTTCCCTGATAGAATTTGGGGTAAAAAAAAAAAAGAAACCATGCTTCTTTTGCTCCTTCACCTGATTCACTTTTCTGTTCTTCTCAGCACAGCAGTTTTGCTGCCATACTGACTAGGACTGCTAACCTGCAGCTGGCTTCCTGTGGCTCTGGCATTACTATCTAAGCACTCTGCCACTGGGCATGTGCTGGTAGATTACCTGTCATTTTGGGATGATGTTCTCTCTCTGCCTTTCTCTTCTAGTAAATCAATAGTCCTCTGACTTCCTTGGCAGCAATATGTGTGTAGGATAAACAAGAGTTTAAGATGTGTTCATTATTGCTTTCTAAAGTGCTTATTACTTGGAAAACCAGGCTGTTATTGATAACTTACAACACTCACTCCTTGTTCGACTGGCTGTTTCAGGGGATGCACATTATGCAGAATAGAGATGTCAGTATTTTTATATAAATGGCTGTTATTCAAATTTTTATTTGCCTAAATTGCCTTGAGATAATCCTACTACCAATCCCCCTTCAAAATACGTACATATTCAAGACATCCACACATAAATACATACATACACTTACACACATGCAAAGTCCACAAGATGGTAAAGAGATAAGGTAAGATCTTAAGCAAGACTGAGAAGAGTAGAGCTCCCTTCAGTACCCCAGAGCAGGTGCAGAGAAGGGATGCTTACAAGCTGTGCTCATTCATTCACACATTGATCACAAATGTGCTGGGTCCTGAGCACCTGCTTTGGGTCTCTGGGAACTCTAAAAGGCAAGGACACCTCACACTAACTCCCAGACGAGGTCACAGACACAGTCAGGTATATGGAGGCATACACAAAGGGGGCCTTTTGGGAACCCCAATCCAGACTAGCAAGGCAGGGAGGAAGGTCCTCATCGGGGAATAGGATAGACAGCAGCAGAACAATAACTTTTCAGTATGTTCTGCATCTCTCATGGCAGAAATTTTCCTGCAGCATCAATTTCCTCTCATTGCCTCAGGGCAGTTTAAGGCAGTTCAGTGTAAAACATAAAAGGTCATCCTATTCTTTACCTCTTTAATTTTTCCAAGTGTGTTTCCCACCTGAATACTTAAGAACTGAATACTTAAGAACTAATTAGCCTTTCATGAGTTCCTCCTGCTAGGAATAAGAAGCCATCGTATTAAATTACAATACGGTCTTGAAGTTAGTGCTCAACTCAAAATATGCATGTGTGTTTTCTGGGGTTTCACCTTGTCAGTACTAATGTTATGAGCTATGATATCAGGGAGTACTCACCTTGGTCACGGTAAGTTTCCCTTCCCAAACCAATTTTATGACCCTCATGGTTCTTTATAATTGCAAGATCCCCTTTAGCAATAATCATCAGGAAAATTTGAAACTGAATAAAGAAAAAGTTTATTACTTACAGGCTCTATAGCTTACAGGGCATGCCAAGAGAAATACGGTGAGATTAAAAAGAAAGGGAAGGAGGGAGAGAGAAGAAGGAAGGGTGTGAGGGAGGAAGAGATGATGACAAGCAGCCCAAATGATCAGTTATCTAAATCAACCAGGATGCATAGAGCAAAGTACTTCGTGGTGGAAGGGGCCTGAGGGAAGGGCAGTACACATCCTGGTTTTGGGTCTAGTCCTGTGGACAACAATGTGTTTATTCAAGTAGCCTTTGTTGAAGCAAATGCCTTAGCTACCAAAGCATTAAGTCGGAAAAAGAAAAGCCAGTTTTCAGGGATTCACTACAATATGCCAAATACTGTGTTAGCAGCTTGAGTAAGACTTGGGCCCTGACTTCAGGGGAAAATAAAACATGCAAAACAGTAGAAACCAAAATAACCAAGTGCATGTTCAAATGTCAAAGTATAGAGCCAGCAAGCATTTCTGAAGCAGCTGCAGCAACTTTCCAGGAAGGTCAATGTGTACAGACATGCAGGAATGGTGTTTACAAAGTGCCCACAGAAGTGATGTATTTCAAGGAGGGGAGGATTTAAGTTGGTGGGAATTAAGCAAGGGGAAGGGGAAATGTCCCACAGTTGTGTAAAATTGGACAAAAGTTGATTATCAGGAACTTTATTTCCTCATATTGTCATTCCCTCCTAATTCCAAATATAAGAAATCACATTGTAAACACAGTGCTCTGTAATGTGTAAAATCTGTAAACCTGCAAATCTGCAGCTTCATGGTCACTTTGGTGAGTGCTTCTGCCTTTACTGTGCACTGGGAAAGAAAAGAATGAGGCCACTTCATACATCCCAGTACAGGGTCATGAAGTTCTCTTATAACTGACACTAAACAGAACCCAAAGAAGGATGCTGGGTGGATTCAGATGAATCATTGTTTATCATTAATGAGCACTGTCTCATGAATAGCTAATCTTTAGAGTCAGAAATGTTTCTATTCAATAATATCAAGAAAATTGACCTTAACTTGTAATGGTGATTTGATGCTAGCAAAAGCTATTGGGACAGAGAAGTGATGGTTAGAAATTCATCTAACATTGGAATTTCTTCTGGCTTTCAATTGAGTGTTGACTAATAATATCCTCAAACCCTCCTATGATGCTATTTTTAAATTTTGTTTTATTTTATTTAGCACCTCAACCATCTCAGAGTGTGGATCAGACACTAGGGCTTCCCACATCTTGGAGCCCAAGCTAATATGCCCCACTCCACAGCCCATATATGCAAAGGGCAGCTGTAATCCAGTTGCGTTCTGTATAGTATCAGTTATAAGAGAACTTTGTGACCCTGTATTGGGAAATATGAAGCAGCTTCATTTTTTCCTTTCCCAATGCACAGTAAAGGCATAAGCACTCAGCAATATGAGTATTCAGAACTGGAGTCCTGCCACTTCCACTTCTTGATGCTCAGCCTCCAGGGGCTATTTGAAATAAAAGAGGGAATATGGGCCTTGAAGCAAGACTGATTAACAGCTGGGTGACCTTGAAAATAAATTACTTAAACTCACTGCCTCTCAATTTTCTTACCTATGAAATGGATACAGGAACAGGACATAGGAGTAGTACCCACCCCTTATATTTAAATGGAGCATTAAAGGGGAATCTCTTCACTGTGGACTTTTCTGATCTTTAACGTCAGGACCATTGTATAAGAAGCCTCAGAAATATCAAATTGTAAAAGATTTTATGGTTATGTTACTGTATTGGGGAGTTTGCTTTTATCTCTCAGAGTACCAAAATTGCTAAATACACATTTTGGGCCATACACAGTGAACAATGAATTACCTAAAAATACTATAGATAAAGTCAATCCTTTCCCATGTCATGCACATCATGTAGCAGCCATGACAAAGATCAGTGAGTCATGATAAACTTCCCTGTTATCTTTTGCAGGCATGTGTGTATTGTCTCCTTATTTAGATTTTGAATCGTGCGGTTTTCCTACATCCTTTTTATACTTTTTATTTTTTTATTCTTCTCCACATATAACCAGAAATATGACCTAGAAGGTGCTCCTAAATGCCAATTTGTTATTTGATAGTTTGGGTTAAAGACCCTAACATTTTCTTCCTCCCTTATCTCCCCATATATTGACTCCCACTATTCTCCTTGGATAATACCTGCTCCAGTCAGTACCCCCTCACCCCCAGGAACTGAGACCCACTCTGGAGTGTACAAAGTCAGTGACTGCCAGTTTCTCAACACTCCAGAGCATGGTCCAGACCTTTTGGTACTGCCTGCTGTACTCATGGTGGCTTGGGTTCCAATTAAGTTGGGGTCAATTCACTTCTTGAAGATAATAATAGCAGGTGCCTGGTGAGGTAAAGAAGGCTTCTAGACATCCATCCAGACATACAAAGTGAGTTAAAAATTCACCTACAAAAGGAAAACAGTTGCTTAATATTTTTCTAGTTTATGGCATCAATTTAGCTAGCTGAACCAGTTATGAAGTATTTCATACTTTTACAAAGCAAGGGAAATTTGGGCTATTTTAAAGATGGGAACAGAAATGGAATTATGGAATCTGATCACTTGTTAAGATGAGCTACAATAAGGATTTGTTGATTCAATAAAAATGATTCAATTAAAGAGTGACTGATTATCAACAAGGTTTGCTCCATGACATACCTGTGTTCTTAGTCCTTAAAACTGTGACAGTGTACCCAGCAGTGTCATGATTTTGAGGATTTTCTGCTTTACATTCTTACCAAGGTCAACCATCCAGCCCATGTTATCTTCTGAGCTATCTTATCACTATTATACAAATCAAAAATAAAGGGATCAATTGAGAATATTGTTGCCTCACAGGGTGGCAGTGTTGAGAGTGGCACAGGATGGGAAACAACTCAAATTCCAAGAAGAGAGAGAGAGAGACCTAGAGGGGCTTATACCTCAAGAGTGTAGACCCTTTTCAAAGGCAGTTTCACATTCATTGGGGATCAGGTTCAGGTTAGGTGGGCATAATAGTCTGTATGTGGTGGGTATGCATAATTGTCTGGCATTAGCTAGGGGGAGTAAATAGGGGCTGTTGCCTGGGGGGCTCCATTGTTTCCCTTGATCAAAGCATCTGTAGTTCCTACTCTCACTTAATTTTTTGTTAAAGTAGTCTAGCTGGTTATGTTAATCTGGCCATAAAGTCTGCCTGCTGTTTTCAGCAGATTCTGGTTTCCAAGTATGGTCATCATACCAAGACTTTTGTCCTGGTGAGAAGTCCCCTGCCTTATCTACATTTTAGCTTGTCCAGCAGGAACTCTGGTCACCAAGAGAATATA